ATTGGCAATGGAAAAGACATAGACCTATTATTTGATCCAAAAAGAGGAGTCTTACAAGATCTTAGAACATATTCATTGAGTTGATCTATGGGAACATCTTTGAGGCTTGACGTTTTCCAATTAAGATGAAATGTTCAAATCACACCAGTCTAGTTAACATTCATAACCGTTTGATTTAATTAACTATTTAAGACTTTAGATGAAAACAAAATATATAAATATAAATCATGACAGCGATAATTTAATAATTGTATAAAAATTCAGTATTATAAAAGAATCATACAATTGACTGGAATCTACACACAATAAAAAAAGGTCAAATTATACCAAATTTAAAAATAAACATTCTTGCTAGCAAATTAATCGCTAAATTAGAGAATACAAAATAATGCTAAAGAAAAAACTCATCAAATAATAATCCAAGCATGTGTCGGTACAAAGGGATAACTTTTCCTAAAAATTTGTAACATTCGATTGTACCAAGATTGAAAGGATCACACACAATCATTAGTCAAGCATAGAGAAAAAATAATTTAAGAAAATAAAAATACTAATGGAATTCATCTTTGCATGCCTTAAACACCTCCATTATGATCTCATTTCTTCAAAAGTAGATAATAGGAATGTAACACACCATGCAAAATATTGTTCCCTCTGACCCAAGTCACCTCAACTAAACTAAACCTCACAATTTTATCTTTCTTTGGGCATGTGTGTAAATTCCCAAAAGATCATCCATCTAAGAAGTGCTCTATTACGTGCATGCTTAATTATTGAGTTCCCAATGGGCATTTGCTCATTATACCAAAAAGTTTCTTGTATAGCATAGCATAACTCTTTGCTAATATATAGCCTAGCATTATGTCCTTCCTTTAAAGAGAGATTTGATTCATTCATGCCCTCCCTTTCGCTTAGAAGCATGCCAATAGAAGCTCATCTTCCTTATCTCAACTTGAACAATCACTCATCGCTATCATCAATCTACCCTCATTAGATTTGAGATGTTATAGGCCGACAAGCTTCCACTTAGATCATTCCTTCAGCACACATCATGGCAAAGGATTGTAATGGCACATATCACATTATGCAAATCTATTGTCCACATTTGCCCAGTTCATCCCATATTAGTTCAAACTTCATATTTTTAATATTTTTTGTAAAACTTCCAAAAGACAGACAAAGCCGCATAATAGTAGAGTTCTTATACGAAATCCATATGTTCCATCAAAAGGCATCTTGTGTAATCATACAGCCTAGTATTTTTTCTACTATTTTGATATAAGATGTGGTTCATTCCTTACAACAACAACATCATCGAGCATTTATCCAACTACGTCGGGTCGGCTATATGAATCTTTTTTCTCCATTGTCTTATTAAGACTCAAATTCTCATTTAAATCTAATAAAAAGATCATTTATGCTATTTTTTTTACCAAGTCTTTTTAGGTCTACATCTACCACTCTCAACATAAGTCAAATCTAATACATCTACTCTCCTAACTGAGTCATCAGAATGCCGACATTTAGTGACCAAACCATTTAAGGCGACTCTCTCTAATCTTATCTGCCACTGGAGCTACTTCGGCCTTTTCACGTATATGCTCTTTTCATAGTCTATTTCTAAGAGTAAAGCCACTCATCCACCTAAGCATCATCATCTCTACAACACTTAACATAATTGTATGCTTCTCTTTTAATGGCCAACATTGTATGCCATAAAGCATTGCAGGTCTTGCCGCCATCTTATAGAATTTTCCCTTAAGCTTGAGAGGCATTTTTTTTACACAAAAGACCCGATGCATTCCTACATTTTAACCATCCAACTTGAATTCTACTAATAATATCCTCATCTATTTCACCATCACTCTGAACAATAGACCCAAGATATCTAAAATGTGTACTCTTATTAATGACTTGATCGCCCAAAGTCACAATTTCTCCATTAGATATATTACTACTAAAATTGCAGCCATAGATTTGGTTTTAGACCTACTCAAATGAAAACCTTTAGACACTAAGGTTGACCTCCATAATTCAAGTTTACCTTCAAATCCTCTTCTAGTCTTATCAACAAGAGGAATATCATCAGCAAAAAACATACACCATGGCACATCCTCATGCAAATGTCTAGCAAGAACATCAATGACTAAAGAAAAAAGATATGGGTTGAAAGCTAATCCTTGATGTAATCCAACTAAAATAGGAAAATACTTGGTCCAACCTCTTTGTGTTTGAATACAAGTAACATCTACTAAATACATATCCTTAATGACTAAAGTATAAGCATTATTAACCAATTTCTTTTCTAAAACTCTCCATAGCACTTTTATTGAAACTTTATCATAAACTTTCTATAAATCTATAAATATCATATGTAGATCCTCCTTATTCTCTCCATACTTCTCCATCAAACCTCCCAATAAATGTATAGCTTCCACAGTAGACCTACCTAGCATGAATCCAAAATTGATTTTGAGAAACATTAGTATCACGTCCTAACATTTACTCAATAACTCTATCCCAAAGTTTTAAAGCATGACACATTAACTTAATTTTTCTATAATTCGCACACTCTTGTGCATACCTTTATTCTTAAAATTATGAATCAACACACTCCTCCACTCATCTGTCAACTTTTTAGTCTTCAAGATAATATTGAAAGTTTCGTTAAGTCAAGAAATTCCTTCATCTCCTAAGCATTCTCATACCTCTATTGGAATATCGTCATGTCTAACAACTTTTTCACACTTCATTTTCTTTAAAGTCTCTCTAACTTTGGTTTTACTAATATGCTGATAAAAATAAAAATCTTTATTTTCATTTAAGGTGCTAAGGTCATTAAAGTTAATCGTATTTTCACAATCTTCATCGAAAATCTAATCAAAATATCTCATCCACATTTTATGAATATCCTCTTCTAATAAAAGCATTTTTTTTATCTTCATACTTAATGTACTTCACTTGAACTAAATCCTTCTCCTATCTTTTTGCTTGACCAACTTATACATACATCTTTCGCCCTCTTTAGTTATGAACTTCTAGTATTTGTCATCGGGCAAGATGAAAACAATGATTGTTATTACTATGACCTTTTATCATGGCTTATTGAGTAGGTAAAGCAGTCAATGGCTCGACTGCATTTGAGCTTGTTGAGTCTGATATTACACCTGCTTGAGCATTGCACTAGTATTATAATATTTTGTACTTTTTTAAAACTTGATTTGTAGAGGTTGTCATACTAATAAAAAAATTCTACTCATTTGAACTTCAGGATCTTGAGAAATTTACAGATGAATATTCAATTTATACAATGATCACATATTTGCTTGCTTGAAGGCATTAGCTTATGTCTTGCATTTATATAGTGATATTGATATTGACTATGAGTGATTTTAAATGTTTATTTAGGGATCTCGATGAGTGCAAAATGATCCATCTAAGAAAAGTTGAACCTAATCAAAATTTTTGTGTGAATATATTTGTTGCAAGAGCTTTATCCGTTTATTAAGCTTTGGGTAAGTATAAACTATTAAATCTCATCATTTGGGTATCAATAATTTTTAAAGGATAAAGCGAAATGCTATAATAGTCAATTTTACAAAAATGCAAATTTAGGCAAATTATCTAATTGGATAAAAATTGATTCAAAATTTTATTGCAATTTAAGTATTTGAACTAGATTCTGATTTGAATTTTCAACTCCTGAACTCATTTGAATGGGAGATGGACAAGAGCATGAGCAGTATGCATGAGTTTGAGGGTATGACGGCTGTAGCTACCTGTAATTGAAAAACAGCAAAAATAAAGAAGAAAGACAGATAAAGATGATGCATGTTTAAGTACAGGCAAGTAGAGATCTTCATATATAATTTAGATCTATCACGCTTATTTGGTTCTTGTAATTTCTATAAGATATTAAGAACGTTTCCTTTTTATTTGGCTAGAGAGATTCAGAGCATCTCTTTGTGTTGAGACTGGATATACTAGATTTAGGGAAGAATGTTATCACGTGCCCTTATTATTAGTACACTTGTGTGCTTCTTGATAGTGAATCATATTCTCTCCCCACTCCTATGAATGTAGACTATTATTTTGATTGAACCACATAAATCTCAGTGCCTTCTAGGTGCTTGTTCTTTTTATTATTATTTCATGCATTCAACAATTGCTCTTGATAGCCACTTTCACATTAAAAAAAGTTTTTATAAAAATTGGCATGCACTCAATAATAGATGCTTTTAAGTTTCATGAAGAAAACAGCCACATGAGAGCAGCAAAAAATGATGATTTGACATTAACAGTCTACCAAAACATTTATCCATCAAGTATAAATACATTGTACATGCATGCATCCATCCATCCAGGCAAGCACGTATGCAAAAATCTAGTTCCAACAAATCCAAGAGAAAAGGGAGAGAAAAGAAATAGGAAAATTATATAGAGATGGCGTGTGGCACTAAACTAGGTGGAAAAGATTAAAATTTGAAATAGTCCAAGAAATTGGATAAACATCAACAGATGCTATCAATAGCATTATCCTGCATAACAATAGAAGTACTGAACAAGAAAGTAATAGGAAAAAAAAATCTCAGGTCTCAATTAAATTATCGAAATTACAAATTGAGAATAAAAATCCTTTAAGTTGAAATGTGCAAGCTATGCTCATCTGTGAGCAAAGAAACAAGAGAAGGCGTCCAGAATAAATTGATAATCAGAAACAGACTACACGAGTTGCATCTTCTATTTGCTAACAGATAGATCATTAAAGGGAACAAAAACATTAGATGCTCTATCAAGACTGTTTCAAACTGTATGCAACAAGTGATTCAAAAAAACAAGAAAGATTAAAAAGCAGCAATATCAAACCGTAGTCAATTGATATGAAGTACGTCGCATAGCCATATGATTGAAGCAAAGATACTACCAACTAAATGGAGCATCTCACTGCATTAACTTGGCTTAGGTTTCCTCTTAACTTTAGCTAAGAAACTATCACCAGATTTCTCAACAATTCGATTCTATAACATCATCCGGGTCCATCCATCTGGAGGATCCTTACAAAATAATAATTTATGCTTCCTGATGCACACATATAGAATCAGGCAAAAAAAATAGAACAGATCCACATGGAGAAAAGATGCAAGCATTCAGATATTAATATGACTCAAATCCTCATGTAAGCAGCAAATAAAAGCATTCAAATTCCTCTTCCAACAATCATTACAAAAACAAACACCGCCAAAAGTCAAAGCACGAAGCAGGAAATATCAGTGAAGATCACTATTAACCAAGCAAAAGAACCTCATCATCCAAAGAGCAGCTCGTGGCCCCTATTGATCTGACGCGGTACATTAGGAACCGCCGGATTTATAGCGGTAGAGCTTGCCAAACACGTGGAGCGCAGTAACAAACCCGATGAAGCACAAACTCATCACAAGCACGACCGTCGGCGACATCTTTAACCCGGGGGCATCATCAGTGTAGAATCTCAGCATGTTGCTCCCGCCAGCACCGCCGGTGAATCCCCCAGACCCCCCTCCGCTGCCGCTGGCGATCCTTCGTCGCCTCAACCCGGCGGCAGCAGCAGGCGTGCCACGGGGTCCCGCTGTAGTCGGGCGGCCCGCACCACCGGCCGATGATGTCGTCTGCGACTGCGAACTTCCCCTCGCCATAGTCGATCGCCCACTTACCGCTTAGGGTTTGAGATCTAACAGAGAGAAGAGAAGAGAAGAGAGTTGGATGGGATATTTGAGGCCTTATATATGGTCTCCCACCGCTTAGATCCGAGCCAACCTCTTCGTCTCCGCCAGAGAAAGGAGGTCGTCGTTCTCTTTTCTTTATGATAACCCGCCAGAACATTTTAAGTATGGAAGCATAGACACGTGACGGTTCCACGTTGGTTGGGTAGTTCTAGATTTTTATAAAGTATTAGTTATAACTTAAGAAAATTAGAACAAAATTTGTGCGTGGATATTCCATTTTTGTGACATATATTTAATTATAAGTCTCAAACGTTTTCACTTAATATAATTAAATTATTAAATAAATATATTTAAATTACTAAATAATGTAACTAAATTATTAAATATTTAGAAGTATAATAATTACATCACGGATATAAATTTGCTTATGAATGACATCCGGCTTTAGTGACAAACAATCTTCTAAATGGGAATTAAAGAATTTAGAGAGATTTAAGTTAACATGTTGAATGCGAGAGATAAATGAGTGAAAAGTATGCTCAAAATATGACTAAAAATCAAACAATGTCAAAAGTGTATATTTCCATTCTTTGATTATAGGGTTCACAGTGTCACACAAAAATAATAAAAATTAAAAGATAAAGTATGATGCTCAATGTGACTCATCATAAATTGTATATAACAATGTGTTATAGCTTGAAATTTATAAAAAGGATTGATTACAAAATTTGAAAATTTTAAGGTGCAACGATGCTACATTGTACTTGATGGCGCAATGATGTTAAGAGCATTTTGGCATCAGCGTGGTGGCACTCCACCTTTGAGTTCTTAGATTTTTGTTAAGAAATGGGTTTTGAGTTATCACAACAATGTCGGGGCGGCTCAAATGCTACATCGGGTCTCTAGTGGCTAGCACAGTGATGCTAGGTAGTTAAACGACATGGCACTATGACAAATTAGTAATTTTTAAAATAATAAAATATTTTAATTCATTCGCTAAAGCCATTCCACCGCAACCATGTCCCATTTCATGCATGCATTGACAGGGGATAAAGGAGCGGAAGGGAGAGAAATGAGGAGAGAGAATTTTGATCATGTCTTTTTCATCCGTCAATTTTATTATGATATTTCTTATGCTCGTGTTAGGTAACTCAAATTCTACATTTATTTCAATAATTTTACGTTATATCAATTAATCTCCCCAAAATCAATAAAAATATATTTTCTCTTTACTTATCATATGTTTATCATCTAAGTTTTTATGTATAATAGCTATCATCATCCTAAGCATTTTTACTGTAATACTATTAAACTTCAATGGATAAATTGATAGATTTTATTTTTTTTAGTTAATGCATAGTGTATAAATATTCCTTCATTTTATACATGATATTAACTTACATAGAGAAAATGATACGATTGATATTAGATAAATATGCATTTGCATGTAAGAATGGAAGATTGGCTATAAATATTATAATTAATTCAGGTTTGCTCTTAAAATGCAATACTCTGCATAGGATGGTGAGTCGACATGTTTTCCTTAAAATAAATGTTTATTGTGTAATTCTCGAGGTTAGCCTATAATCGATTGACTGATTATGCCGACGGGTTGATAATGACGACCCTTCATTGATTATTAAAAACCACCCGTTGAATTAAATGATAGATATAAATAATTAAAATATGTGATTGATAGATAACAATATATTGATATGATAAATGAATAATAGATTGAATGATGAAAATACCACTTTAAATATGAATGTCCTGTCTTATTATTCATAATTGTATTAATATTTGCATTTACATGACAACTTATGATTAAATTGAATTGATTCATAGATTATATATATAACTGATAGAATCAACATTTAGATTGATATAATATGATACAACATATGATAGAGATATTGCTAGATATTGATAAACATATTGATAAGCATATTAATATATTGTATTAATAGTTAAATGCGACACAATGATTGATAGAAACATATATCAGAACTATTAGTATGAATATAACTGATAGATTGGTGCTTGTTTATGTATTCAACCTCTGCTATTAATTTATAGACTTTTGCCAATTTTTTATAGATTTATAGAATCTTTTTTGCTTAATAGATACTCTATTTTTATTAAAAATAATCGCCCGTTAAATTAAATGATTTATAGAAATAATTAAAAGATGTGATTGATAAATAATAATGGATTGATATGATAAATGAATGATAGATATAATGGTGAAAATACCACCTTAAAGATGAATGCTCTATCTTATTATTCATAATTGTATTGCATTTACATGATAACATATGATTAAATTGGATTGATTCATAGATTATATATATATATATATATATATATAACCAACATTGATATTAATATAATGTGATATAGCGTGTGATAGAGACATTGCTAGATATTGATAAACATATCGATAAGCATATTAATATATTGTATTGCTAGTTATATGTGACACTATGATTGATAGAAATACATAACAAAATTATCACTATGAATATAATTGATAGATTGGTGCTTTTTTTTTTTCAAACAACCCCTCATATTAATTATAGACTTTTGCCAATTATTTCATCAATTTAATATATATATTTAAATTTACTTATTAGCACTTTAGTATTTATGTTATTGCAATTTCATCCAAAGAAATAGTCATTTTAAATTGATTGAAGAGGTAAAAGGTCTTACTAAAATTTCTTTTTTTTTGGGACATGTCTTACTAAAATTTCAAGGATGAGCTTCTAGTGAATTAATAAAAAGCCTTAACAAAAGGGAACGGCGAAATAAATAGAGACCAAAAACTGCAAACACGTAGACGGCGTCACCGAAGGTAACTCCCTCTCTCTCTAACCCCTCCGTTTTTTTTTCCATTCCCGCGAGCATCGTCTCAGAAACTCGATCCGAAGCCCTAAATAAATGATCGATGGGAATCAGCATCTTCTAAGGTGAAATTGCAATAAATGACTCAATATTAGTTTTATTATATATATTTTTATAAGTTATGGGAGTTTGGTCTTAAGTTTTGATAATTACAAATATTATTGGATATTTATTTATTTATTCTTGTATTATATATTGGATATTTATTTTTGTGTGCTACTAACCATTTCAAGTACATACACCAAGCAAAGAACTAAAGAATCACCTTAAGAAAGTGTAGCGTAAGTGCATAAGTTAGTATGTATTTTACAGAGTAAGTATTTTTCATTTTTCTTGAGTCAATTTATGTATTAAGTGTACGTTGGCTAAAAAACTATACACATACATAAAGAGAAGTAAAAGTGAATATTTACTTTTTATATAATTCATGTTATTTGATCCAAATCATAACATGCAATCCAAATCACATTATATAATATATTCAAATAAAAATTATTTAAATTATCTAATTAAATAATATTAAATTAAATTAGGTTATAACTAATCATACCGTATAACCATCACATTGTATATGATGATCAATTGTATTGAGAAACCCCGCTGCCAAATCATGGTTACTTAAAATAAAAAAAAGTCAAAATTTAAAAATTGACATGATTTCACCATATGAACATTAATTTAAATTGTCTAATTTAATTCAAAGGATTAAGGAATCAAATTAGATCTAATCAACATTAATGATCTACTGTACAAACCAGTTTGTACTGTGTCATTCACCCGAGAACTTACTGCATGACCATGATAATTCTTGGACGATTTATGATTTGATTTAACCAATCATATTGTATGGTATACACACCTTATTGTATGATCTAAATACTTAATTTGAAAATTATGATTTTTGAATGACCACTTTATAAACTTAGTATGTCTTTAGTGACAATAGTTCTTTAGAGTTTCAGAGATATCTTTGTTTAGTGAGAGAGCTTGGAGAGAGACCACAACTCAAATGAGAGAAAGAGGAGGTGACGTTAAGAGAGGGAGATTGCCTTGACGGACTTAATGGGCATAAGAGGGATCACACAATTCCTATGGCTAGCTAGTACCTTGGTTATGTAATTGTGTTTATTTATGCATGAAGCTCTTAAAGGAAAGCTCTATGAAGGAGAGTATTTGGAACGAAATACTCTCACTAGTTGAGGAAGTTAGGGATCAACATCTTTATCGGAGCAAGGAGCTAAAGGAGGAATGACAACTCCGTCGAACTTAGCGGTAAATCAACATCTTCGTCGGGCTAAGAAGGTGAAAGAAGGGATAACATCTTCGTTGGGCCGTGGAGGCCAGAGGAGGGAGATTTTTCATGGTCTAAAGAGTTTGTAAAGGTCATTCTATGCCTGGTCAAGAGAGAAGGGCTTCTTCGCCTAACTGTGTGTTGATGGAAGACAAATTTAATGCAATGCTCAAAGAGGAGGACCTTTGGGCGTGGACGTAGGCTGATTTGACCAAATCCCTATAATATTGGTTTGCATATTCTTATTTTTTATAGTTTACTTTTCTTGCAATTTTAGATTACTGCACTCTGGTTTGTTTGTTGATTATCTTTGTGAAATAATTTTTTGTGAATCTCTGGCTAAAGTTTTAAGTTTATACAAAGTTTTTAAAGCACAAAAAAATTGTATTTGATTTTGAGTTTAGTTTGAATGCTTTATTTTCTCAAACGCTTTCGTATGTTATATTTTAATCATCTTTTGATTTTAAAAGTAAAATATTTTTAGAAAATATTAAATAAATATTTTAAAATATTGGTTTATATATATATATATATATTTATATATCTTATCTCAATTACTCATTTCCTGGCCGTCAACTAAAATAAAACACTAAGTTGACACCATGTTTTTTTTTTCTTATTGCGATACAATGGAAGCTCTTTTATCTATAGAATAGATGTATGATATAAAGCTTAACCACTTAAATTATAATGTTTGAATACTTTTTTTGTATTGTGCATACCTCTATTTCTCTTTATTTCTTTTGGCCTTTTAAACCATTCCTTAACCTTGACGGGGTTCTTTGCAAGGTGATGACTTCCTCTCACACTCTCTTTCTCATTTAGCTTGTTTTCTCCCTCTATCAAGGAGCTTCTATGAACAACAATATTTCATTTTATCTCTCTTACTCTCTTTTGATCATGAATCTTTCCTTACTTTTCTTATTCCATTTATTCTCCCCAATTATGTAATTAGCTTGATTTGATTGCTCACTCTCAGTGCCCTACTCTCTCAATGCATCCTTTCTCACTCATGCATCACTCACCTTAGAATACCTTAGCTGTCTTTAGTTATTCACAAATCTTATCTCAAATAATGTGGTGGGTGTTTTTTACAAACTATGTAAAATATGAATATTCACGCAAACCTTATGAAAAATTTCAATAAGTTTTGCATATAATGAAATTACCTTTTGTATATTTATGATGTGTCTTTTTTAAGATATTTAAAGAATTGATTAAATCTTAAGACTAATTTGCGCCACAATTTAATTTAGTTATGTTTAATCAAATTATGTAAATTAGAAGTCATAACTCCTAAGTTGTATTTATATTTCCTTATAACATTAAAAAATAAAAATATAATTTAATTTTTTTCATCAATTTAATATCTATATTTAAATTTACTTATTATCACTTTAGTATTTATGTTATTCCAATTTCATCCAAAGAAATAGTCATTTTAAATAGATTGAAGAGGTAAAAGGTCTTATTAAAATTTCAAGGATGAGCTTCTAGTGAATTAATAAAAAGCCTTAACAAAAGGGAACGGCGAAATCAATAGAGACCAAAAACTGCAAACACGCAGACGGCGTCACCGAAGGTAACTCCCCCTCTCTCTCTCTCTAACCCCTCCGTTTTTTTCCATTCCCGCGAGCATCGTCTCAGAAACTCGATCTGAAGCCCTAAATAAATGATCGATCGGAATCAGCATCTTCCGCTCCTCCAAAAGTTTGATATTGAACCGACGAAATTCTGTTTTCTGATGAGAGCCAGTCTCGCCTTTATCTGTCCCTCTGTTTGCTGGCGTTTTTGCTCGATTTCTATTATATTTACTTCAGCAACATATTCTCTCTGTTTCTGACTTAATTTTTGCAGGGGAGAAATCGAGATAGGTCTGTTTGGGAATGGCAGCCTTTGCTGATGGCGGGGTATGATGATGGTTATCCCTTATCTTCGTATTGTCGAACAAATTCTTGGATCTGTTAGAAGTTTTATAGCCTGTCATTTACTGTACTTAGAAATTTATTTATCCTTTTTGTTTAGCCTGGATAGTTTGTTTATTGGCTTTTATAATTTATTACAACAAGCAAATCTAGCTACAGAGTTGTCGTCATCTAGCTTTGTCACTTTGCTTCGTCTATGAGGTTATTGAGGTGTGATCGTGTGAAGACGACTCTATTGGATGCTTGTTTGTTACTTTGTGCAAATGAATACGGCTGAATGTATGTTCTCAATTGCATGCTGATTATGGAAAAAGAAAAACAAAATTGTGAATAGTTGCAATTCTTTCTAATAAGAACTATCGCATGCTTCTTTAACAAACAATGAATTGTATGATGCTATAGGTTTTATTATTAATCCACATCTTGAATGTGATTGTTTGTGCACATGGTTTTGCTATAATCGTTGAAGTTTAATTTTTTTTTGGGTAATTTGATCATTTGATGCAATGGTTTTTCAATACACAATTTTAGGATAATCTAAACTTATGTTTGGAGCATGTTCTTCTATTAGGAAGCTAGTTTTGTTATTGCATGCTTCTCATGATTATATCAAACACGGTATTGCATTCATAGTTTATGGTTATGAAGTTTCAAAACAGTAATTGATGCGGAAGAAATCAACATTTGGGAGGTTAGGTGTACTGTTAGATTCGACTACTTAGGAAAAGAGAGTAGGTTAGGTAACTGAATGTAGCTCAATTGAAGCACTCTATGCTTTTATGTGACAAAAAAAGGAGATATTCAAAGTTGAATTGAGAGTTGTAGTATCAATTTTATAAGGTATATATTTAGAGTTTTGAGATATTGATCAATAGATTAATATATGAAGTACATGAAGAAAGAAACTGCCTAAAGAGCCATTGGGCTAAAGGAGCAATAAGCATAACCCAACCCGAGGGTGTTGGACTGACCAAACCAACCCAACGAAACTCCTTTGCTCGAACATTTTTCAAGACATCAATTCTTCCCTCTCTTTGGTATAAAAGTACCCAAGTTATAAAATATATCTTCATGAAAGGCTGCATCATTTAGTTACACCTCTTCATGAAATGTTGCATCAATTCACTCACACCTTCTCACGTAAAGAATACTTAAGCACCCAACCACATGTAAAAAGAAGGGGATGACTGCATGGATGGCCATCATGTGGCCATACTATTCCCATTCCATGCTTTGTACCCCATATTCTCATTGCCAGGTCCCAAGCCCTGGATGAGAGAAGTGGAGGATTGTATTAGGTAGTCGATAACGAGCGTAAAATTTGTCGAACAATCATAACCGGAACCCACTTAGTGGGATAAATGCTGGATGTTGTTGTTGTTGAAAATTCATTGTTTTCCACTTCACGCTTAGTTGAAAATTGATTGTATGTGCTTTTATTTTTCTTTTGTTGAAATTGTATCATCCTCTCCTTTCTATATATATGAAGTTCCTAACTTCTAAGCACTCAACTCTCATATTTGGTGGAATTCTACTTTTACCCAGGCAGGCTAGCAAGCTGGGCAATACACGTACACTCTTCCTTTAGTGGAGCTTCTTAGTTGAGGATAATGCAATGATTAATATATTTGCAAATGAACAGGATCCAACTAATATTCAATGCTTATACATATGATGATGGCCAATGGAACTTCTTAGTTCCATAATTTCTCCCTCGATGAAACTTTGTACTGTAAAACTTTATCAAAGTTTGTTTTGTTGCTTGAAAGGTAGCGCTAGGTCATTGTGTATGTCGTGAACAATGAATAAGTGGCCGAATGTCTGATTTTCATACAAAGAAAAAAAGAAATGGCTAAGAAATAATTTGGGATGGCCCAAAAAAAATGGAGGCTTGGCATAGCTGCCAAAGTCATCCATATTGCAAGTAGTAGAAAGATTTGATCAATTTCAATGAATATTGTTGGAGTTATATAGGGAGAAGTATCATTGAAAATATTGGGCAAAGGCCTTGAGCAAGTTGCAATCTAAATTGGCTAGCAGTTATGTATGCATGTGAATGGAAACATGATGCAACAACAATGCACATCAAGGAGGCAACAAGTGATTGCACACGGAAGGAGGTATTGCGAGCACAAATAATGAACAAGTAAATTAGTGTGGGGTGCAATGGAGATGTGTACGAGATCAAGTACATGAGCATGTCAGGAGATATGAAAGAGTGAGGGACCCGAGAATAAAATGCATTTGGTAGAAACAACATAACGCATGCGCATGTTATTGTGGGTAGGAAATCATGCTTGATTAAGAGAACGTTTGTTGTTATGAGAATGTGGGAGGTTGTGGATGTGAGAGGTTGTGAGATGGTCTCAGCTCGCACAAGGGCGAGTAATAATAAGATGCATGTGAAGTTGTGATATGGTCATGTACAAGATTGAGTGCATAGTGGTATGAAGAAGAGGCAAGAATAAGCAAGTGCAGTTATTGTGGCATTGGAGCGGAAACAATGTCTAAAGTTATGATTATAGGGGGGAGAGAAATTTTCATTAGTGTTACAAATTATGCTTCTTTTTATATAAGATTCATAATGAAGAACAATTGATAGTTTTAGTTGAGGTAAACTTAGTGTTACATTCAGGCTTTGGAATGGAGAAAAACCTACATATGTCTTAAGAAGTCTTATCTTGCAACAACATGATGTTGAATTAGGTGGGCATCAAAGAAAGAAGGGTATATGCTAAGCATGCTTGCCTATAGTGAATAGCTCACCATAGTGTAGATGCACCTTGTAGTCATAGCACATATTGTAATGTTAACTATTTTAAAATAGTACAAAACACTAGATCTTGAATAATTTATTAAAATATCAATAATATAAGGGAAAATATCATAATGCAAAAATGTACTATCAATGTCATATTAATTGAATTTGTTAAGCATACATGAAAATTATTGAAAGACAACATAAAATTCAAAGCCACTATAATTAAAAAAACTTAAAGCGTCAAAATAATAACACTATATATACTTGATTTCCTCTAGCTCATTGCTTCTAGAATGGAGAATCATGAATTTTGGATCAACTGATTGACAATGATTCATAATGATGACTATGATGTTGAATACGCTTTTGGATTGATGAATGAGTCACATTTTGGATCAAAGGTAACTTGTAACTTTTTTAGCATTAGTGCCATGGCTTTTTTCGACAATGATGACAATCATTGCTTTGGATTGATGACTCAAGTCATTTTTGTTATTGTGATAGATTATCATTATTGTTGCTCACATTTTAATGGGAGGTTGAAAGGTTAAGAATTAGGACCCTTTAAGATGCACGAGTGGGTGTGATTGGTTTGATGACATTAAATTTTAATTTATCTAAAAATATTTAAGAAAACAAAAGATAAACTAGGTTAAAAGAAATTAATAAATAAAAAATAAACTTGAAAAGTAGCATGTGTCATGTGTGCTATGCATTAAAGCACACTCAATCTGTACTATTTTGCTTTATTTTGCATTGCTATATTGTCACACATTAAAAAGCATGGGAGAGAGTCATTGAGCATATGTTATGACGTGATATTAATGTTTCTCAAAATTAGTTTGGATTCATGCCAGGTATGTCTACTATAGAAGTTATTTATTTGTTGAGAAGTTTAATGGAGAAGTATAGAGAGAGTAAGGAGGATCTACATATGATATTTATTGATTTTTAGAAGGCATATGATAAAGTTCCAAGAGAAGTGCTCTTGAGAGCTCTTAAAAAGAAAGGAGTAAATAATGCATATATTCAAGTCATTAAGGATATGCATGCAGGTGCTATTACTTATTGTTCAAACATAAGATGGTTTGACCAAGTATTTTCCTTTTTCAGTTGGATTATATAAAGGATTAACTTTAAGCCCATATTTTTTTGCTTTAGTCATGGATGTTCTTACTAGACATCTGCAAGAGGATGTACCTCAGTGTACGTTTTTTGTTGATGATATTCTTCTTGTTGATAAAACTAGAAAGGGAGTTGTGGAAAAAGTTGAATTATGGAGATCAACTCTAGTGTCTAAAGGTTTTTGTTCGAGTATATTTAAAATCGAATACAAGGAGGTATAATTTTAGTAGTAATAGATATAGTGGTGGATGTGACATTGGTGATCAAGTCACTAAAAAGAGTGTGCATTTTAGATATCTTGGGTCTATTGTTCAAAGTGATGAGAAAATAGATGGGGATATTACTTGTAGAATTCAAGTTATATGGTTGAAGTTGTGAAATGCATCGGGACTGTTGTATGATAGAAAAGTTCCCCTCAAACTTAAGGGAAAATTTTGTAAGATGGCGGTGAGACTTGCAATGATTTATGGCATAGAATGTTGACAATTAAAAGAGAAACATAAAATTAAGTGTTGTGGAGATGAGGTTGCTCAGGTGGATGAGTGACTTTACACTTAGAGACATAATTCAAAACAAGTATATATGTAAAACGTTTGGAGTAGCTCCGGTGGCAAATAAGAGAGTTGCCTTAGATGGTTTGGTCACATAAAACACTTGTCTCTCGATGACCTTTTTAGGAGAGTAGATATATTAGATTCGGCCTACCTTTTTAGGAGAGTAGATATATTAGATTCGGCCTATGTTAAGAAAGGTAGAGGTAAACCTAAAAAGATTTGGTTAAAAAATATTAGAAATAATATTTTTTAATTAGATTTAAATGAGAATTTGACTCTTAATAGGACACAATGGAGAAAAAAATATTTATGTAGTCGATCCCACATAGTGGGATAAAGGCTTTGTTGTTGATATGTTAGTTGTACATTGCTATGAGCTAGCACAAGAGATGTTATGTTATGCTATGGCTATAACACATTCTTTTGTGTGCTATTAATATGTATGATGATAATTGTGCAATTATGTTTCTAATTGTATGCACGGGCATTAGCCAATTGCTTTAATCTTATTTTTTAAGGAATTATTATAAATTAGCTAAATCGAG